TGTCCTGCCAGCATCTCCAGTTGCACCTTCTGCCTGTGAGGACTGTTGGATTTGATGCCCCACGTGAGTGGAGCGACCGTCTGAGCAAGGAGAGTTCTTGGGTCTGTGCTTCGTGACCATGCCCTGATGCCCACAGCTGCCTGCTGCCAGCAAGTAGTCATGTGGTCCTGCTCTTCTCGATGAAACGCCCGGGCCCCTGCTGTATCTTCCATCGTGTGTTGCTTTTCCCCGCCAAGGGCTTCTATCCCAGCCTCCCAGAGTAGCACAAGAGGCGGATGGATGCCTCTTGCAGCAGGGATCCTGCCTCCTTGAGATTTGCAGCGTGGGATTTTTAATTCTGACCTTCCCATCTGCTTGGAAGATGCGCCCGCATTGCCTGCCTTCAGCTCCCTTCAGTGTCCATGGACAGCAGCCTTGTACAGGAATGAGCTCATTGGAACTTTCTACCCAATTCTTACCGAGCAATATCTATTTTGTTTTTAAATGTAGATGTCCCCTGCTCGCTTTCGCTTCGCTCCGTTCATGCCCGCTCCTCCGTCCGCCTTCTGGGAGTCCACTCAGTGGCTCTGAGCTCTGTTGGCTCTCCCCGGGGGCGGCTTCCGAGTACTGACGTGGGTGTCTCAGGGTGTTGGTGGTTGAATGACTCGGGGGGGGGGGGCCCTGCCCCTCCCGGGTTTAACGTTCACAACTCGATTCTGATTTTTTTTGTAGGTCGGATTTTGTAACGTGTTTTTTCTATACGACTCATGACTTCTGCTGGCTACTTGCTTGAAATGTTTTGTCATGTGCCAGGTCAGATTGCGTTTTGTTCTTGGTTTCATAATAAAACTGCTGCTTCCAGGCGATGTGCGGCTCTTGCTCACTGCGTCCTCCGTGGTACCACGAAGCTCTTGGCTCTGAGAGGGGTTGGAGGGGTGCTGCAGGCTGCTGGTGTGAGCGGATCTCCATAGCCCGGTGCCTCACAGAATCCTTGCAAAGTCCACGGAAACCCCAGCTACCAATGTTTTGTGTGTTATGCCCCCTCTGTGCTAGTGGAAATGACTCCCTCCTCCTCTCTCCAGCGAGTCAGAGCACTGGGCACCTGACAGCTGTGGTTGCTACCGATCCTGCATCAACTGTCCCGAGCCGGTGCTGCCAACTCCTTGTGTCGCAGATGAACACAGCTCTTCGTCCAGTTCTGCCTCCCTGCCGTGGCCATCGGGTGCAGGGTTCCCATCTGCCCCCCGTTGTAACATAGTTTGTCTCAGAGTTTTGTGCTTGTCAGGGGGCCGAAAGGTAGGGTCCGGGCAGCACTGTGGCGTTTGGTGCCCAGAAGTCAGGTGGAGTTTCGGTTCTGGTGCGGGGCCCACGGGGAATGCAACTCTCCACTGGGGTTCTCAGTGGGTCTGGTGCTTCAGGTCTCTTCCTTCGCTTTGCTGGGGGGTGTCGGTGAATGCGGACAGTTCAGGAGGGTTCTGGTGGCCATTCCCCACCTAGTAGGTAAGTATTTGCAAAGGCGGCAGTGCACAGGGATGAAAGGACTCTCCTAAGATCCTTTGCGAGTCACTGACCCAGCACCCAGGAGCTTCCACTCCAGCCTCACCTCTTGATTCCTTCCGTCTTTGGCTCCAACCACTAGTCCACACACTTTCAGAGCTGGAAACAGGACCCAGGTGTCCCAGGAGTCCTGCACTGGAACCCCTGCTGCCTTGCGAGCCCAGCTGACGCTCCCTCGGCCATATGGCACTGCTCCCTCGGCCGGGGCCCATGCTGCGGGTGGGGAAGTGCAGGACTCCTCTCTCTCCTTTCTGGAGGTATCGGGGTCTGCATGGCCTCTTGCCCCCCACCCCACGAGGACCTCTGTCTTCTTCCCTGCTCTTGCCCCCCCAGCTCCCTCAATTGCCTCCCTTGCTCCAGCTGGACCTCCTTTGGCTGTGGTACTGCTCTGCTGCTGAATGCCGCTCTCCCTTTGCTTGCCTAGAAGCAACTCCTGCGTGCTGAGCCCTGCCTCAGCAGCCGGTTCCCCTTACGCTTTGGGGGCATCACTGCTGCCCCGGAGGATGTCCCTCCCCCTGCTATTTCCCCCTGGTTGGGGGGGGGGGGCACATTTATTTGGTGGAGGACACTACCTCTTTTACAGGCTGGGCTTTCCCCTCCTGGCTGCGGGGGGGAGAGTCGTTCTAATCACACTGTGTTTAAAACACCACCTAATTTATTTTTCCTCTCCAAGCTGGGGGCCGCTCGTGACTAATTTGGGCTGAATAGGCGGAGAAAGAAAGCAGCGGGCACACAATGAGCAGGGGAAAGTGTGGGAAAGGGAGCGAAAGAAAAGGAGGGCCGGGACTTTTAGCGTGAGAGCTGGTAACGCCGCCCAGGGCCCAAATTCAGCATGAAGTCACTTTTCACTGCAGACGCTTGGGCTGTAAAGGCGAGCGGGACTCTAGGTCAGCCCCGCGGGGAGGGCAGAGGAGGGGGCAGGGGCAGGGGATGGAGAAAGGCGGGTGCCTGCGCCTTGGGGAGGGGAGGATGATGGGGTGAGATGCATGGGGCAGCAGGGAGGAGAGAGGCCAGTATACGCATCCCCTGTGCATCGTCCCCTTTTCCCCAACAGGCTCCTGCCCCCCAACTCCCCACGGGCGAGTGAGAAATGGCCAGTGCCAAAATTCAGGAAAGAAATGAGCCAGGCAGGGACACGTGCATGGGATGGTGTGGCCAGGGGCTTGGGGAGGGGGGCATCTGCATTGGGGGGAGCGGCTGAGGTTGGCCGTTATGCTGGGGGCTACATGGGCCGTTATGCTGACTGCACTGTGCCCCAGCTGGGGAGGGCCTGGGGGCTGGTTCAGCCCCTGCTTTGCCCCCTCCACCCCGAGTGGTGCCAGGAGCCCTTTGGCCCATTTCTGGGCAGCAGGACTATTGCCTGGTGCTTGGAGGGGGAGAGTTGCTGTCCCGCTCTGAGCACTAGAGGAAGGATGTGGGCTCAGGGCTCTGGGGCTTTTCCTGATGAAGGGAGCAGAGCAGGGTCGAGGGCTGAGATCAGGGGCCTGAAGTCGGGGCCCCTGGGCTCTGGTCCTGGCTCTGGGATGGGTGATATCAAGGACTAGAGCAGGGGCCCTTTACCCTGCCCACTCTCTAAATCAGCTAAGCAGCTAGAGGCAGATTGCTTCTCTCTGCCTCAGTGCCCCTGTCTGTAAAATGGGACCGCATGACCATTCCTGTGGCTCACGTAGGCTTAATGCACTGTGAGAAGCGACTCATCCCAAAGAGAGCTGGAGCCAGCCTAGGCACCTACTTCCAGTCAAGGCAGGCCTCCCCTTGTAAGAGCGAGTCCGGGGCAGTGTAGGGATGGGGCACCAGTGCTCCCTCACCTGCTTTTCCCCTTGTGCCCGGCAAGGGCTCCAGCACCTTGCTTTGCCTTTGGAAGCCCCTGTGGGGCATGCAGGGGCTAAGCCAGCCGTCCCTTCGCCAGCACCACACTACCTGGAACAGCCTTTTGGGTCACCGCGTCTCAGTGCCCTGGCACCAGGATGCCAGCGGGACCCTGTGGGCACGGGACAGAGGTGGGACAGCTGTAGTGTCCCAAGTCCCAGGTGTGACCAGCACCTCCGTGTACACTCGAGGCCCAGTGGTGTCATCCCACACACCAGAGAACCAGGCCCCGTGGTTCCTCCAGCCGTCGCCCTGCTGTGGGCGTTGTGGGCAGCGCCGGCATCTCCAGCCCCAGGCCCAGCGGGGGCGGTGGATCCCAGCCAAGCTCCCTGCCGGCTGGTTTAATTGCCATGAGCATTTCCTGTGCAGGGTCTCGTTAGGCGGTGGTGGGGAAGGCGAGGGGAGCCATCTTATGTCAGCCTGCAGCCGTGGGTGGTCGCCCGGAGGTGGGGAACGCGTTCCGTCCCTGTCCTAATTTGTCCGCCTTCCCCAGTGGGCCCGGAGCCCTGCCCCCACTCCCGGGGGCTCCGAATTAGGTCAGCCAACGGCCGGGGGCTGCGGGCGCCGCAGGGCGCAGCTCTCGGCGGCCCCGGGGGAGACGTGAGTGGAACAAAAGCGAACGCTCGTTAAACTTTTGACATCTTCCTCCGGAGCAAACAAACAAACCAACCCACCCAGGCACCGTACAGTGGGGACGAGCTCGCCCCGAGACTCCAAACCAGCCCTCCGCCTCCAGGGTACTGGAGCCCCTCTGGGGCACGGCACTGCCGTGGGTGCTGATTGCTGGGGCCGTGTGTGGTGCCGGGCTGGCGTCCTTGTGTCTGGCAACCCATGGAAGCGCCAGCGGAGACCCCCCTCCACGTCCGAGGCTCGTCAGGGACTGGCTTCAGGGGCCATCTGGGACGGATGCGATCGGGTGCCTCACCCAGGGGGTCCTGCCCATGACCTGGGCTCTTTGTTATGCTGTGAATGGTGCCCAAGCTTGGTTTTCTGGCCTGTGCCTGAGACTCCTTTTCCACCGCCTACTCTCTTGGGTAGAGACCGGTCCAAGTCCGTGGTGCTGGGATGGTGCGACGAGGAGCCGGGCCCCTCCATGCTCTGGGAGCTGCAAGGGAGCTGGCATGGTGCCCAGGGTCTGCCCCCTTCTCCCCATCACGGCCACCGAGATTAGGCAGCTTCCCCAAGAGCCTCACACCAGCTGTCTCCAGCACCGGGCAGGGGGTTGGGGAAGGGGCTCGAAGGCCAGTGGCGGGAAGTCCAGGACAAGGAGCTTGAGCTGGGGTCCGCAGCACCTGGGCCTTGCCATCCAGCCCTAGAGACCCCTCTCAGCCAGAGCCCTGCCAGCCTGCCCCAACCCCCGGGCTGCTCCTGCTGCCACGGCCTGCAGCCAGCGCCCAGCCCACCCCGGGGCAGCGTGCGTGCCACTGTGCTCCTTCAGAGGGTGGATATAATTAGCTGCGACATTCTCGGCATACCTGCCAGCTCCTAATGAGGGTCCATAAAAGCTGCCGTGATCTGGTTTCCTCTGGCACCGGGGGCCAGTTGTAAATCTCCACTTTACAATTTTGAGCTGCACTTGGAGGAACCATGGCCGGGAAGGGGTGGCCGGGGTCCTGTGCCCCTCAGGGGAATGGGGGCAGGAGGGTGGCTGGTGTCCCGTGCACATCAGGGCAGGGGTGGCTAACTGGTACAGTCCTTAGAAAAGAGTGCAGGAATGAGGGTAAGGGGGTGAATCCGTACCTGCAGAGGGTCTGGCTGGCGGCACAGAGGTGCCCCGGTCCAGGCATGGTGGCGAGGTCAGTGTGCCCCACCTCCCGGCTCTGGGACGGTTTAGTGGGGGGCGGGAGGGAGCGTGGGAAAAAATGAGAAGCATCAGGACACATATTTTCAGAGTCAGTCACCGCGCGGGGCGCTGGATGGAGCCACAGGCTGCAGGGGGGGGCTGCTGGAGGAGCAGGAGGGATTGGGATCAGGCACGGGCAAGGAGGGCCATGCTGACACTGGAGAGCAGGGCTGGAAGGGACCTTGTAGGGTCACATCCAGCCCAGCTCTGGCTCCAGGCAGGATCAGCCCTGACTCAACCATCCTAGCTCCTGTCTGGCCAACCTGGCACCGAGAGGCCGCAGTGTCCTGCGCCAATGCCCGACCCCCTCGTGTTCACAGTCCCTTATCTCCAGCCTCAGTTTCCCCTGCTGCAGCTTGAGCCTGTTGTTCCCAGTCCTCTCCCCTCTGGCCGTGGAGAAAGGCCCGTCCCCATTCTCTGCCGTTGCCCTGCAGGGATTTGAAGGCTGTGATCAAGTCCCCCTCTCAGTAGTCTCCTCTCCAGGCTGAACACCCCCAGCTCTTCCAGCGTCTTCTCAGTCCTGCCTCCCAGCCCGATCCCACTTGCTGCCCTGCACTGGCTCTTTCCCATCTGCCCACGTCCTCCTTGAAGTGCGGGCCTCAGACTCAGCACGGGACTCCGGGGGAGGTCTCGCTGGTGCTGAATAGAGCAGAGCCCAGTTGTGCTCTGGAGCCCATCACACTGTCACGTAAGGAAGTGTGGGCTGGGGTCCTGACGTGTCTGGCATTGCCCCGTGGCACATGGAGGGGCGGCCAGGCTGGTCCTGGGGTGCCTTTTGGGGCCCAGCTGATTTTAGGCTGCCTTGCCCAGCTTCGACCCCTTCCCCGAGATACTTGAGGGGGCCAGGCCCCCTCTCCTCTCCCCCAATTCTCTTATATACCTGACACCAGGCCCATCTGGGGGGACTGAAGCCGCATGCCAACAGCACAGCCTGCTGCGGTCTCCTCCCGTGGGTGTCCACGCTCCAGTCACAAGGGACCGCTCCCGGCATCAGGTGTCTGCCAAGAGCTCCCGGGCCAGGTGGTAAAGAAGAGTCAGGCACGCGTACGTTTGCCAGCAGGTTTTTTTGTGGTTTTTCTCTGGTATGGCTATATAAATTTTTCTTTATTGTACAAAAAAAGTCTAAAAAAGAGAGAGAGAGAGAGAGAGAGGAAGGAAGGAAGGACAGACAGACGGACAGAAGTGGGATAGAAGCCATGGCTATAATATACACAAGAGGCTACAGTGAGCTACAGGGCGAGTGGAGTTTTCACCAGGACTCTTGCTTCTTTCTTTCTTTTCCTCTCCTGTAGCTCTGTCTACAACGGTTTGTGACACAGAAGCTGCGACCGCGGCTGGTTCTGCCTCAGCCCGGAAACAGGGGCCGTGTCCCGTGCTCCGCCGTCCGTGTTGTGGTGCTGCCGTGGGGGCTCACGGTGGCCATTGGTTGCATCCATGTGAAATTTGCCCCCATGGGAAGGATTTGGGAAAGGCCCGTGGGACACTAGCTGGGCAGGGAGGGAGGGGGCAGGGGTGTCCCTTAGCTGCTTCCCTGGCTGCCACGGCTGTTAAAGTGGCTGTGGCTGTGGCCGTGGCGGCAGTGGGGGAAGTGGTTCCTTGGGGAAAGAACAGAGATCAGCAATTCTCACCCTGGGGTGGAGCGGCAAAGGAGTGAGCTGTGATCTCTGACATCTGACTATCTCTTGGGGGCATCAGGGCAGGGGGGGATTCCTGACACTGTGTGTGGAGAGGGGGCCCTGCCTGCTGCCTGGGGTGCAAGAGCCTCAGGCATCTCCATGTCCCAGGGCGGAGGTGGTGCCCCCAGTTTGGGAGCTGGGGATAGGGTTGGGAAGTCCAGGCCTCGGCTGTTACCTCTGGACCTTCCCCCCCGCTCTGCCCTTTCTGGACGGGCATCACCCTGGGGTGGAGCACGGGTTCTTCTCCGGGCGAGTGCCAGGGTCCCACCTCCACTGCTGTGTTAGACCTCTGGGACCAGGTTGCAGTGCTTGGAGGGGATTGCGGAGCCGGGCTCGGGGGCTGTGTGCCAGGGCCCCCCAGAATTGTCCCAGCTCCTTCGAGGTCGCTGGGGGATCCGGGGTCAGGGAAATTTCACACGTCGCAAGCTCAGGCCACCACGCGGGTCCTGCCGGCCAAGTCTCTGGGCACTGGGGCCCGCAGGCAGAGCAGGGCAGAGGGCACCGGCTTCTCGGGCAGTGAGGAATGAACATCGAGGCGCGAAGGCAGCAGTCCTCACGCCCAGCGAGTTACAGGAAGAGAAAGCACAGACAGAAAAGCGTCTCCTGGGGAGCCCGCGGCACGTCACAAAGGAAACCCCGGACTAGTCTCTTAAATTTTCTTTAACCTTCCATAGTGCAAATGGTGCCTTAGCCCCGAGCAGTCTCTCAATACAGACATTTTTACAGTGAACATTCAGCGCTCTTGAGTCCGACGCTTTGCCTCTCGCCTGCAGCTTGGGGAAAAAAATCAAGTCCCCTGTGGCCGTCGCGCTGCTCCCAGGTTGGGAGGTGGAAGGAGCGTGGGCTCCTGCAACGGTGCCGCACCGCGGGGTGAGCCCCTGGCGGGTAGGCAGGGGCACAGCCGCCACGTTGTGAACGTCCGTGGGGTCATGCAGGAACCCGCTGGCAGCCGCAGACCCTGGGGAACTCAGCCGGCAGCGCCAAGAGAGCCCCTCGCCGGGTGCCACGAGGGCCAGGCTGATGCCCTGCTGGCAGCCTTTGCCGTAGAGGTCCCGGGTGGTCCACGAGTCACAGGGGCAGGCGGCAGCTAGAAGCAGTGAACTCTTTGATTCTTCTTCTTCTTCTTCTTTAAATATGTTTTTTTTTAATTTATTTTATTTCTCTTTATTTTTGACGTTCAAGTGCTGTGTTTGGTCATGTGATTAAGAACCAACCCATGAATGGCCTTTTGGTCATGTGATTAAAAACAAAAAACAAAAACAAACAAAGGACACCCCCCCCCCAAACACCCCCCACCAAACCCCAACCCTGGCGGCCTGTTTCCTGAGCCGTCGGTCACAGACACTCGCCTCGTCGCCGTTGAGTCCCCAGTCGGAAAACAAAAGGGGCCGAGACAGGCCCTGCGACGACCCCCCACAGAGCCAGGGGCTGCCCCGGGCCCTCCCCCCGGCTTCACCTGCTTGCCCTTTGCTGGTGCAGTTCCCCAGGACATTTGACAGAGCCAGGGAGAGCCACGGGACTCGTGTCATGTTCAGCTCACGTGGCTTCTTCTGGCTGGAGACCCGTGCCATCACGCCCACCTGCCCGCCAGCGAGGGGAGCAGGGGCTGACTGGAAGGAGGGGGAGCATAGGTGGAGCATCTGCTGCTTCTCACCACCGTGCCAGGTCGGCTGGGGAGAGCCGGAGCCACACCCGGGGGGGCGCGACTTGCCTGGCTGAGATGAGACTTTACTTCTGGCTGGGGGGGGACCCAGCCCAGCCATTGCCCCACAACCCCATTCGCACAAGAGCCCCAGCGCTCCCACCTTCGCCCCGTGCCAGGCTCCAAGCTGCTTGGCAGGTGCCCCGTGGCAGCGTCCTTCCGCAGGGCACTTGCCAAGCTGAACCCAAGACACTGGCAGGAAACCGAAACTGCCCTGTCATGCATGCCTCCCCTGGCCCCACCACCGGCAGGGTCACGGGACCCAAGCATGTGGCCCGGCGCCACGTCTGGGGTCAGCTAAGAACCTCTCCCTCCACGCTGGACCCGATTCAAGTATGCAGCAATGATCCTCAAGGAAGGAATTGCTCCCAGAACGATCCTCTGTGCTCCAGAGGGGCCAGGGCTCAGGGCCTGGGGACAGGGCTCTGGCCAAGGGGTCCTGGGCAAGGGCGGCAGGCTGACCCCCTCCCCTCAGCCCCCTGCTGCAGCCCAGAAGGGCCTGGGAGGGAGGTGTGGGAGCCCCTGGTTTTGCTTCCGGCTTGGCCATGACTTCTGCAGCTGGGCAGCTTCCCTGTCTGCCGGTGCCTGGTTTGTGCCGTGGTATCATCTCGGCCCCAACACAGAGGCCCTACCAAGAAAGCAGCTCCCCGAAAGGCACGGGGCGCTGACAGAGGAGGGGTCTCCCTCAGCCAGCAAGTGCTAATGGCTAGGGCTCCCTGCTGTGGCCCCAGCCTAGGGGAAGGTCTTCTCCATGTAGAGGCTCCAGCGCCGGTCTCATCTGGAACGTCGCGGGGCTCCCCATCCCGACAAGCCTCTCTCTCTTGCTCCCGTCCCCTCCAAGACGACGTCCCCGTGCCGAGCCCATAATGTGTTGCAGAGACCGCTGGGTCGGCAGTCCCCGATGGGGTGCAAGGCATCTCCCTGCTCTCCTGCAGCCAGGCTGGGCCTCTGCAGCTCCCTGACAGGGCCGGGAGCTGCGTCCTGGAGCACCAAGAAACGCTCTCCTTCACTAAGATGCTCTGCACTCAGGGCACCAGCACGGACACAGGATTCCTGCCTCCGCAGAGGTCAGGGGCTCATCTCACCCCTTTGCCTGGCCTGTCCCTATCTTAACCCAGCAGGCCCGGCTGCGACCTCCAGGAGGGCATCACCGGCTCCTTCGGATGACTAAGTTCGTAAGCAGCCTCTGCCCAGTGCTGCAGACACGAGAAGCTCTACGGTCTGTAAGTGCTAAGGCGGGAGCAGCAGGGGCCTGGTGCTGGGGGCCTGGCTCAGCCGCAGCTTTCGGGCTGGAGACTTGTTCCCTCCCAGCAGCATCTTCCCTTCCCTTGGTGAAGTCGGGGCGGCGGGTCTGGGAAGTGCCTGGAGGTCATGGCTGGGGAGCAGGAGACAAGTGCTAAGCGTGCCAGGACCCATCTCAAGCGACAGCAGAGAGGAAACCAGCTCTGAGGGGCGCACATCCATCACCACCTCCTCCCTGCGCTGTCTGTAAGTGCTTTGCCGGGTGCCTGCCGGCCTGGAGTTGGTCCCTCTGCATCAGGACCGCCAAGGAAGCAGTGCTGCGCGGTGCCCGGACTCCTCAGATAAGTGCTGGGCCGGGGTTCAGCCCCAAATGGGTCCTGTCCTGCTAGCTCCTTCGCCAGCCACAGCTGCGGCCAGGCCCCGGGGAGGCAGCGGCAGGATGTTCTTAGCTCCTTCAACGATGCAACGGGAAGGGGAACAAGGAGCCTGTTCCCGTGCAGTTGCCGGCCCCTGCCTGTGTCCGGCAGGCAGAGCTCTGCTTCCCATCGATCCACCTTCAAGACACAGCCGGACCCCAGGGATGACCCAGGCTGCCCCACAGCCCAGGGGTTCCCCCTTTGCTGTGCCAGCTGGACCCAAGTGCCACAGCCTCTTCAGCGCATGGCCAACAGAGGCAGGGCAGCCCCTGCTGTAGGGCTCAATATTCCCATTCGGAGCCCATGTTCCCCCTGCAGCACGGCCCTCTGGGCACTGAGCATCACAGCTGGCCTGCCTCCTGCCATGAGCCTCAAACCACGGCAGAGATCCACGAACAGGAGCCTGGGGCCACCCTGGGGAGGGACGACATGCAGCGGCTGCTAGGACTGCTATGAATGCCCTCTGAGGTCTCGTGGGGTCGGACCCCAGCAGTGCCGACACCAGCAGGGCCAAAGCAGGATGATTCCCTAAAGCCTGGCTCTGTCTCTCCCCCCACCGGCGTGTTTCGATGCCTGCAGCCCACGTGGGTGCATCCAGCCTTCCCCTGCCTGCTCATGTCATGGTCCCATGGGCAGAAGGAGCAAAAGGCCCGTAGGAGCATGTTGGGGCAGAGAGCGGGGGACGGCACCTGGGGCCACGGGCAGACTTAGCTTCCATGTTGCTCCCCAAGCCCAACCCCTTCATTCCCCCCAGTCAGCCCCTTGACCGCACGCGGCCGGGCTGGGCTGGGCTGGCCTCCGCGGGGATGGGGAGGGGAAGGAAGCTGGGGGAGGGGGGTCGGGTCAGGGCAGGCGGTCCTTGGAATCGCGCAGAGGCAAATTAAATAAATAAATAAATTAAGCATGGGGTGGGGGTGTCTCCCCAGGCCGGGTCCCACCGCTGCCATGACCCCATCCTGGAAGTAGGGGC